AAAAAAAAAATCCTCCCAGTATTACTCAAGCTTCAACTAAAATTCCGACTTACAGTCTCTCCTCCAAAACTTACCATTTTGCGAAGTTTAACCACTCGGGTACCACCATTCTTGTCGCCACCAACTGGTTTTGTGACAGTAGCAAGAACCTTCTCCTTCTTTTTCTTTTCAATCTATCGGGACACAAATGTCACAAAAAGTCAAAGGGAGACAAAAAACTTAAGGTTAAGACATAATGGCCAGTGGTTCCCTTCATCCCTTACCCTGGATTTCGCTGCTGAATATTTCCTCTTGTACATGGCCTTTCGGGAATACATAGCTGATCGGGAATACCTGCCGATTCCTCGGACCAGGACAGGGTTTCGGCTGCAGTGGGGCTTCCCCTTCTTAGGCGTCTTGGCCTTGAGGTTACCCTTCTTAACCTTGCCACCAGCATCAGCCTTCTTGGCTTCAGGTTTCTTCTCTTTAGTGTCTGGCTTTTCAGCTTTTTCACCCGCCATCTATCAATACATATATTTTTAATTAAGACAAGCATTCACAAATTATCACATAAGAAAACAATATCTAACTGTACAATGATGGGCTTCCCACGCAAACCCTCACCCACTTTTCATCCCTCCCCTTACACAGGCCTTCCTCTAAACCCCAAACAGACGCAAACACCTTCATAATGGTTAATTTGGGGCGTGTCTACCCAATACACTATAAAGTTCTTGAGGATCTGAAGCGATCTTACACTTTTTAGGCGTCTGCAAAACATTTAGTGATCGAAAGTCCCTATTCCATTTTTTCCTGTTTTGGTTATTAGAAATCTTAAGACACAGAGCCTTAACAAATCTCCACAGCTAGGAAGCAGAGAGGCTGGAATTTGAAACCGTTTGCTTCTAGGGCTTTTGCGCTCTTCAGATTACTTACTTTCTCATTCAAGAAATTGGGCTTAGGAGGCGAGGACATACAATTAGCCCAAACTCAGGCCAGACTGGAAAAAAAAACGCAAAACCCAAAGCCCAAGAGGCGACTTCCGGTCGTGGACGTAGGGGAGACAGGAAAATAGCATTTGGCCTCAGCCTCAGATCCCAACGTGGCTGAGACAAGCTCAGCGGCGTCTTCTGGAAGTCGGGCCCAAGATTCCAGAGCGTGCATCGTCGCCCTGGTTCCCGTAGCTTCACTAGCCTGCTACGGATCCCGGGAGGGGCCCAGTACCTCCAGCCCGGGAGAGTAGCGAGCAGCCGGAACCCCGAAGCCTCTACGGCATTTCACCCTCTTCGTGCCCCACCGCAAACCCAAGCTAGAGAAATTAAGCGTCCAGGTGGGCTCTCAGTTGGCCCCGAGCCTGTCCGACCCTTACAAGTGTCGACTTGATACCCTCCTGGTTCGGATGGAGAAGGATTGGGGTCCTGAAATCTAGTCTTGCGGCGAAGCTCCGCCATTCTTACCTTGCAAGATGGGAAAGAGAACTAAGTTCCCGGCTTCCGGTCTATAAGCAATCATGGGCGGAGTCAAGTCTCACTTCCTTCCGGATCTGGCGCATCATGGGAAGTGTAGTTTTTTCTCTTTTGAAAGTACTGTAAAGAGCTATTTTTCTTAATAAGAGGCGAAAGGGAAGAACATTTTGCCTGAAAACGTTTCGTTTTATAAACTAGTAAAATTTTCAAAGTACTTTTGGGGACCAACATAAAGTTGCAACCTTTTATTTTGCTTACTAAGTACATTAGAAAGCACTACTATTTTCAATATAAGAAAATAGACGGATGAAGGCTCTAATCCCTAATAAATTGAAATCTTTCCTATGAAAGGCTAGTTGGGAAACTTCCACGGACATTTTCTCCACAGTTGCCTTAATGCCTATATCTATCTCCAAATCAGACTATAGACCATGCTTTATGGTGGAGGGTCAGAAAAGCTAGAATTTAAAATGAATAAAATATGTTCCTGTTCTCAAAGAACACACATTCAAGGGAAAAACAAACAGAATAATGAATAATCATCAATTATTTCTTCTGGGAGATTTGGGATTGTTTTGAGGTGGTTTTTGTGTAGGATCTGGAAGGATAAATACAAATCTGGCAGATGAAAAGTGGCAATTGGAACAACAAATGCAGGAGGCACAGAGACATATAAGAATAGCATGGTTGTTCATCACGTCTCCAAGCATTTCTGGCCATTTTGTACTCTGTTTCTTCATTTCTAAAATGAGGATAACAAACTTCACAGAGTTTGGGGGAAGATTAAATGAGTTAATATAAAGACAATCATTAAGAACAGTACTTGATGCATGATAAGTGCTAGCTAAATATTAGTTCTTGTTATCACCACTACCACCACCATCATCAACATCATAGTTGTTGATGAGATCTTGCTATGTGCCAAGTATTCTGCTAAAGTTGATGCAACAGGGATAATAAGAGAAATATTGTATGCTAACCTAGAACTGTGCTGTGTGCCTTGCTTTATCTCATTTAATCCTTTCAACAACCTATAAAGGATACTATTGTGAGGAATCTGGGGTTCAAAGAGGTGAAGTAACTTGTTCATAACATGGATCTGATTTCAAAGAGTGCTCTTTTAACCATCAGTCTGTAAAAACTGAAGAGATGACAAAGGAAGATGAATAAGAGAGTACTTTGCTCATATTAGAATTTAAAATAAGAATAATTATTTTTTACAAAAATAAACAACACAGTATATCTTACAGATTTTTACTTCATCAAAGTCTTTAAGGAAATAGATACTTTGTGGTGCCTTTTGGCTTGAGTTTTCCATTCTCTTCCACTCCCTTGTTGTACTGGCTAGAGTTTTTCGCCTCAATTTTCTTCAGGTCCAAACCACCTGCTTTGTGGCTATATCCCTGGAAATCATGTAGCCCTTTTCTGGTTCTGTTTGAGTGACGATACAAATACAAGCGTCAGATGCCTCTGAAGGCCTCAGGAATTTCAGTGAAACCCTTCAGACTACAGTGAACGCAGAGTTGCCATGCCTGCGAAAACACGAGGCTTCTAAACCTGTCTGCCTTCCGTACATATTAAGGATGAGTGTGATCGGAAAAGGCTATATTTTACGCCAGTTCAAGATTATTCACTGTCCAAATATGTAATATTCTCAAGGAAGAGCTTGGGCATTGATCTTTTTTGGGAATGGGAATGCCAGCAGCTTTATTTGTTTAGTTTTCTAAGCAAAGCACCTCTTAGATATTGCTATTTCAGGAGATGTATAAGAGTGAATGAAGTGCAGAGTTGCCCATTTGAACCCCACAAAAACGCTGACAATCTCAGAGACTTTCACCTAGTAAATGCCCCCCAAAAATATTTGTGAAATGACCTGTCATTGAAATAAAAACATAATTGTACTCCCTCTTGTGTTATGTGGTGGTATTGTCAAACTTACTGTTCATGAATTGGGCAAAATATAATCAAGATACTATATTAGTTATAAAGTAAACAGCAAGTGCCTGGTTCTACCATATATAAAATGCTCTTAAATTTGTGCAGTTCTCTGTTAATTACAAAGCAGACATTTCTCCAGACACTAAATCATTTTAAATCTCAATGCAATGTCCTTATGAGATAGGAGTTTAAGGTGAAAACTGAGGCTTACTTACAATAAATGATTTATCCAAGGTCACACATACGCTTACAATGAATCTGTCTTTTTGTGTCACAGAAAGACAGAAACCCAGTAGGCAGTTGAACTGCAGCAAGGGTACTGTCCTTGTAACCTGGGGATCATTTCCTGTATGATCTTATGATAAGTCTCTGCATATGAGTTTTCTTACTTATAAACGGGATGATATTGGCAATATTGGTAATACTTTCTAAACGTTAATGTTAAGGTCAACATGGTAATTCACTCACTCAGTCAATAATTTTCTCATGAAAAAGTTCATGGCAGGGCCGGCCAAGTGGCGTGATGGTTAAGAACTGGCTTGGGACGTCGGAGGGCCCGGTTCGGATCCCACATATGAGGGCCAGTGACACTGCCCTCCACAGCTAAGATGCTGAACAACAGCTCAATCTGGAGCTGGGCTGCTGAGAGTCGCCGGCAACGGTGTAGGCTGCAGCCCCCATGGCAGTGGGTTGCCATGGGCTACCGTATGTAGCCAGCAGCCAGTGTGAGCGGCCAGCAGCNATTTAATTAGGTGCCTCGTAACAAATTTAAAACACCAGTTTGTGAGGATAAATCCCATTTGTGAGGGCAAACACAGAGCGGAGGTAGCCCTGGAGCTGAGGAACAGCTTTGATTTTTGGCAGAATTTGTGAGTCCACGGCTTTCTGATCAATTTTCCGCTGCTCTGTAATCTCGTATTTCTGAAAAAAAAAAAAAAGAGAGAGAGAGAAAACCATTTAAAAGTAGGGCACAAGTACCAAACTCCTTGGGTAATTAAGGAACCCTATCTCACAAGTACCGAATCGCAGGAATATTTAGTAGGCAGTTTTGATAACCCTTTCCTTGGGGGGCTGTGAAATATAACCCGTTTTCAATGTAATACAAGTAGCTGCTCTTATCCTTTTGCCTACTTTAATTAACACACATCAAGGATAAAGAAGGGTGAATTCCCAACAGAACAGTAGCAGGAATTCAGAGTTCCATCGAAGCCTCAGGATTCCGAGTTGGGCTCCCACAGGCCATGAGGATTACTGTTAGGAACAGATTCCGGCCCAGTCTTCTTCCCCAGATAGCCCGCATTCCTTACAGCTTTGATTTTCAGAATTCTTCAGCTTGTTCCTTTTCACTCCCGAATTGGGGAGGCAGCGCTGCCAGAGGTGAAGCGAAAAACAGCAGCTCACCTCTTTCTCCGTGTCGAAGATCTCCCCCTCCTGGTGTCGCGGCTTCCGCAGCTTCTTCTTCTTGAAGTAAGCATCGGTGAGATGTTTGGGGATTTTCACACCACTGATATCGATTTTGGTGGAGGTGGCGATGACAAATTTCTGGTGTGTTCTACGCAGAGGAACTCGATTGAGGGACAGAGGTCCT